CTTCCACGCACCCACCCCCCGCCCCCCCCCCCCCCCCCCCCCCCCTTCTTCCAACGTCAATTTGACCTCACTCATACACCTCGTCTTCCACTTACCTTCACTCTCAACAACTCCGACACTGCAGTGTTTCGCGTACGGTCACCATGTCCTCTCGACCATTCCGCTTCCTCGATCTCCCGGCTGAGCTACGCTGTATGGTCTACGAAGCCACCGACATAGCGACAAGAAAAGAAAAGTACAAGCCCACAACAAGATACAAGCCCCCCAACGTCTACATCAAACAAGACGACGGTAAGTTCTGGCTGTACAAAGTGCACGTGGGACATTTACTGACTACATACCTTTCCTTTGCAGGCTCTTCGCAAGGCAATGGTAAACTCGTTATGTACCGACGCGCTCTGCCAATGTCAATCCTGGTAACCTGCCGCCTCGTCAACAAAGAAGCTGCACCTATCATTGCTCAGAAACTCAAAACAATGGTGAGGGAGCCAGTACGCTTTCGCATGGACTGGACAGCCGCCAACCGGATTCAAAATCACTTGAATATCTGCCTCAACACTTCACCTGAGGGAGCGCTGCCTGTTATCCGGTCATCCGATCCGAGATCGCAATTCTTCTACACCTGCAGCTCGTACCTCGCGGAGATCGCTCGTTTACGCCCAGCCGATACTGCTTCTGCTGAGGTCGAAGTCACCATTGCAACTTCCGAACTGGATTATCGCAGAATGGGGTGGAGCCGAGCTCGCACCTGTGAGTTTTTTGAGGGTCTCTGCCAGGACTTCGGTATTGGTCCTAATAGGGGGAATCGGTGGCACGGAGGTTTTGGCGTCAGTCTTCGCATCGATGCTATAATCAGCCCACAACCGACGAATGGTCTCCGGTTAGATAACTGGAGGACCGTTGTAGGACAGCCACCGGATTACAAGAGTTACGTGGTCCACGATGTGTCCAAGGGCGAATGGGAAGAGCACGTACAGATGTTGAAGAAACTCTGACTCGGTACGTACGAGGCTCAAGAATCGAGGGAGAGAGTAGAGAAGCTCGTCATGGATGTAGGTCCAATACCTGTGCACGGAGGAGACATCGGGTCGAGAAGTTGACGAGACAGAACAAAAGCAAGCATATGAAAGATTGGAAAGTCAAGTTGAGAAAGCAGAGGTCACTTCAAAAGTTAGCACTAACGTAATATGAACTGTGGCTTGGAATTTTAGTGACAAAAGCAATGCTAAAGGTGATGTCTCTACTCCAACAGAAGCACACATCGCTATCTGTCGCTCTGTGCAGTGCTTATTTACTGATGAAATCAATCTGGCACTATCAACTGTGAATCCGGACTGATCATCGTAGCTTCTGACGAGGGCATTACATAACATGTCTCTCATGCTCATCGTCCATCTATAGTGAATGTCCAAGACATCCACACTCAGTTCGTCAAGCTCACATTGCGGACCAAGATATCCTCGTCCTTCTGATACGGAATACCCGCCTTCTCCCTCGCCATATCGTTGATCCATCGGCCGTCAGGTGCGACATGCTCCCCCTTGGATAACTCATCGGCCAGATAAAGCCAAGCCAGCGCATTGCCCACCGTGCTGACCTCATCACTGACATGCTTACTCGCGTACTCCGACATCGTAGAGTGAAGTTCCGAATCAGTGAAGAGATCAAACAAGTGCTTCGCAACAGCGTCATGATCACCAGGCTTGACCAGGAAGCCAGACTTTCCATCCTGAACCTGCAGAGGGATACCGCCAGCGAGAGTAGCGATGATAGGCGTGCCCTTGTGGAGCGCTTCGCTGACCTTGACTTCGAAGCCTTCGCGTGTGGAGAGCTGGAGGGCGACATGAGCGCAGGACATGAGTGCGTTGAGCATCTGGTCGGATGGTCCGATACGCATGATGATGACGTCGTCCTTGAACTCGTTGAACTCCCCGTTAAGAGCGGTCTCGGTTTCCTTGAAGATGCGTGTAGCATCTGGGTCGTCGACGGCACCATGGCCAGCTATGACGAGCTGGGGGATGTCTACAAGGGGCGTGTCTTTCATGTACGCTTTGCGCAAGAGTGCGTATGATGCGAGTACATCTGGGATACCCTTCGCTGGGTCGAAGCGAGCGATTTGGACGATGTATTTGCGATCCGGATGAGCGAGCTGACGCATACCAGCTGAAAAACACTGGACCTTGAGCTCGTGGATGTAGTACTGCTCGTCCCAGGGGTGCATGTGCTTGTTCAGGCCATCTAGCCAGTCAGTAGTGGCAGGCAGGTACCCCACTTTCTCTGGGGTCACAACCTCGGGTACGAATGCTCGCACGGGATGGCTGACGAAGACATCACAATCTTTGACGTGGTTCCAGATCCAGTTCCACACCTCGGAGGTAGCGGTATCTTGTTTGTCAGCGAGGTCAGCTCGAACTTGGATGTGGCTGCGAAAAATGACTGGGCGACTAGAGGATAGAGTTAGCATAAATGGGTATCCTGGATGAGTTCGTAAGCAATTCGAGAGTACATACCTGGAGTCTCGCTCCTTCGCAATCTTGACAAGGCTCGGCATCTGAGGATCATCGACAATAATCACATCGGCACCACCCTTCTCGCGAGATGAGAGCGGGCCGCCGTGCTCGACCCAACGACACTTGTCAGCCTCTTCGATGACCCAATCATCAAGATCGGCCATCTTTTCCTCGGTCAAACGCTCGCCTGCTGTGGCGACACCCTGAAGAATATTATGGTTGTCTTTGGTGATCCTGAAGATGTCGGTCTTTCCGTATGGAACGTACCATTTGCAGTCGACCCCGAGAAGAGCCAGATATCTCATCAGAGCGTGCCTCATGAGAGCGACCCCTCCGCCTTGTGCTGTGCTGTTGAAGAAGGCAATCTTGGTCCTTCTCTTCTTGAGTGAGTTGGCGTAATGCATCGTTGCAGCTCCTGTAGTGTCCATCCTGACAGTAGAATCGTAGCTTTCGCGCTCGGCGATGTGCACGTGGTTGTCGAGATCAACCAAAACCTGACGACGATGACCCATCTGAACGGGTAACTCACCCTTGACGTTGAATTGCTTCACTGTCTTTCTCGCCATGTGTTCGGCTTCTTGATCTAAAGGTATCGATGGCTCTTCCTTGTCTTTAGCGTCGGCCGGAAAGATGAATGGTATGATGTCTAGTTCAGTCCATAGGCGTACGGCCAGGTGTGGACTCAAAGTAGCCAGTTGCGTGGTCAGAGTAGCACCCATGGGCTTGGAAAGATTCTCCTCGCGGTAGTCGTTGAGAAATCCGATGAAGGCTTTTGATAGAGCTTCGGAAACATCACCTACAGACATGGGTGTGGAGACTCCTGATCCAAATCGCGATGATTCGTTCGATGAGTTGCCCTCGCCTGCATCTCCGGATAGCCCCAGAGATTTGCTCTCACAGTTAATGGTATAGGTTCCATCATGCAAAGCAATGCAGTAGCGAAATTCGCCATCGTCAGACTGAGCGACAGCAAGGCCTGCGTAAAGGGGCTGCCATGTCCACATGTTAATTAGAAGTTTTGCATTAGAAGAATGGTAGCACTGACCTCGACAGCAGCCTCAAGAGTACCCTTCTGTTCCTTGAGTTTGTAGAGTGAATCCGAGGACTTGAACGCCCTGATGCTGATCTGACGTCGCTCGGCAGTCGGTAGACGTCCGTAAGTGGGCCGCTGCTCGGCAATCTCATCACCGTGTAGCGACATCATGAACACTAGTGTCGGAGGGCGTCTGAACAGAACGGAAGATGATAGTTGAGGTAGTGATTAGTTAATTGATAGCAAATAGCGATCAATAGTGATGTATGAGGAGGAGGAATGTCGATTTGTATTGGAAAGAAGCAGACAGGCAGCTTTTATGGCCAGCATGGGGGCTTCACAATGCAGTAGGCGGTGATTGCCACAGCCATTGAAGCATTCATGGCGATTGCATGCATGCTAAGCGCATCATGAACATCACACCGGGTATAAGTGGCGATTGATGGCGGCCAGTGAGTGACAGGCGCGCATTGAAGGAACGCATGGCGTTGGCCGTTGGAAGCGGTGACTAGGAAGGCGGAAGATCACAAGGCGTGTTAGGCGTGGCAGCCAGCAGGCAAAGGGCAATACACGGGAGAATGGCGTGATACGACGATAGTCCTGGTTGCGGGACGAGATCTGGTGAGGTGAGCATTCCGCACGAGATGGCTTACGCGACAGCGCTAGGGACTTCCCACGCGTCGTAACTACGAATGGAAGGGCTAGCAGCTACCTAGGTACGGTCTCGTCGGGTAGCCATGACACAATGGCCACAACGACGAGGAGGACCGTGATGCTGGATCTGCCGTGTTGTTCTCGATGCAGTGGATGAGTGCGTCGTTTGACATGAACGAGTTTTCTGTGGCTGTCTGGGGCGAATCAGACATGGTACCACCGGCAGCGCGGGGGTGGTCCAGTGGCCCCGTGCCATGGGTATAATTCAGCCGCCAAACGCGTCGTGTAGTCGTGTAACCATCGTGATTATATGTAAAGCCAGCGCTGCTCGTAAGCTAGAAATGGGGGACGACGTTGTTCAGTGTGAACAAGTGGTGCTGCGGGCAGAAGGAGGAATGCAACATTGAAGACGAAAACTAGTCTCGGGCTCTAACAAGTTGCATGACTCTGGAAGCCACAAAAACACCGAACGATGTATGCAGAGTCGATCTTCCGAGGCCACTTGCAATGAAATAGATGCACAACTGGCTAGAACACATCGTGATGCTCATGCCACGATCACTAGCCCGTATGCGCATGCAACACTTTTTCCGTGTAGTTCAATTACTCAAACGCTGCCGCTAGGTGGACTAGGCCTGATAGTCCCGCTATCGCTGCACAAAGAAGAAAGCATCGTGGGGGTGGCAAGTCATTGTAGAGACAAGGCCGCCTGAGTGTACGAATGTGAGTGCTGATGTAAGGTGGGAAAGAAAAGCGATCGCGGCCGAAAGAGGACAAACACGTGCGATATGCAGCTTGGCTCAATGCAGTGTAGCGCAGCGGGAACGGCAGCACTAGCGCGAGTAAGCACAAGGGTCCGGCTGGATGGGGTGGAGCGGAGCGAGCGAGCGACGCGGATGGGAGAAGGGATGCTGTCGAGAGTCTTGGGCGGAGACATGCAAGTTTGGGGGTGGAAAAGAGAGTATCGTGGATGCACATGCCGATGTCGACGTCCCGGGAACAGAGAGTCGTAGCGGAACTGGTGCCATGTCGGCGCAAGCGCTCCAGATGGCCATGTTTCCCGCCTGCCGGATTTGAAACGCCTCTTCCTCCGTGCAAGCCAAGCAAAAGCACCAACCACGGCGACCCACCCATCTTGCGCTCAAACCTCAGCGATCTCACAGCCACGACACCATCTCACCCGTTTGCATCCCTATCTGCCCCCATCCACCGTTTATCCATCCGACACCCGTCGCGCCCACCAGAGGGCCGGCCCCGTAGACGTGTACCAGCCCAGATAGCTCGTGCCAGCTGTGCGCCCACAGCCTTGCGACCGCCAGGCTCCCACCCGACGTCGTCGCATACCGCGCCCTGTTGCTCGCGTCTCAATAGCGCACAACGCGAAGCAGACGGCCAGCCCATCTTCGCACCCTCTCCCGGACGCGCGATCCCGCCGCCAGCATGAACCACTACCCTCCCCGGGCGGTCATGCCTCCCCAGACGGGCCCAGCCCAGCGCCTCAACGAGCTGCTCGACAACATCAAGACCGAGTTCGAAGCCGAATCCCAGCGCAGTGTCGATGCCGAAGGCCAAAGTGAGTCTTGCACACGCTATCCAGCCGCGAAGGGAAGCAGTTGCCGTGCGGTATCCAAGGACCGGGCGAGCAAACTTTCTGCGCATGGCCTCGACTGTCTTTTGTCGCATGGAGCTCACAGCTGCTAACTAGTCCTTGCAGTCACGCGTCATATCCAAGAGATTGAGTTGATCCGCGGCAAGGTCTACTCGCTCGAGCAGTCACACAACCAGATGAAAGCAAAGT